AAGTCTATGGAATTACATCTATTTGCCAAGGTTTATTTTAACCATTCAACAGAAAGTGAATCCGGATTAATCCCCTAATTTTCCACTCTCTCTCTCTCTCACTTTTCTTAACAAAAAAAAGAATCATCAAAATCAGTTCACATAATGACGGAGTAATTGCACAAAAAATACAGTTGAATTGAGAACCTCCTCCTTTATTGAAGTCGGTTAAAAATTATAGGAATTAAGTGAAGACTGACTGAAGAAAAACATTCATAAATTTCTCACAGATGACGCTTTAGTAAAAATTAAAAAACAAAGATCTGCAACATGCACAAAGATAAATTCTCAAAGATCTGTTCGTTACTTTCATCTTCGTGTCGTCAACATTTGAGTTTTCAGTTAAATTCAAGTTACAGTTTGTCTGTTCGTGACTAGGATGAGTTTATAACTAAATATCCAACTTGAATGATACATCTTACTTGTAACAGGAAAATGTTGGGTAAAACCCAAAATACACTTAATGTCCATTTCAAGTATTTTTTCTATTATGTATATATTTGTTTATATTGCGAAATAACCTATCAGATTGCTATCCAACTTAGTTGTTCGATCACTGATAGGAAGACTCAGTGCAATACAGTCTAGTCTTGGTGGCGACTTTAGCTGAATGGGATACTTTTGCATGCACCACAGCCACACACATGGCAATGTAGTTATGTAAATAGTTGTTTAAATGGGGTCACTCTATTTTTTTTGTGTTATTTCTGTTTTATTTATGTTGTCTTTTGTTGTGCCTTTTTTTATATTGTGGCGCAGCAATAAATGGTTTCTATTCTATTCTATTCAATATTGGGGCAAATTGCTGGTTATCAAAACAATGTAGCAGTTTTAAGACAAGTTGACGATTATTGAATGGATTTTGCGTTGATCTGTATAAGTCTTTGCTTAATATCTAGTTGGAATAGAATTATATGAATTGCATATAGATGACATAAAGCAATTAGTTGCTATAGTCTGTTCCAATCCATTTTGGACAAAAAGTAAACAAACCTGTTTGGTTAAAATTCTAAAGCAATCACTCAATAAATAGAATAAGTAACACTTTCATGTTTATTTCGAAGATTTTGACTTGATATATCAACTTTTTCCAACAATATTCATTTGAATAGCATTGTAAAATCGTATTTGAAAATTGGTAGTCCAAAAGTGAGGTTATTATTCATCTATACTTCTATGACTTGCCTATGGTTGCATAGTGCTGTTCAAAAAAAACATTCAGTTCAATCAATTAAAGTTTAGTAATCGGTTAGTAAATCAAACATTTCAATTGCAACCGTACGAGTACTTAAGTGTAAGGATTTGAAGGAGGATTTAAATTGAAATTTTAAATATGCTTAGATAGGTTATGTAAGGAAAACCGCTAGTATGACTCAATTGAACAAATTGATTCCTTCAATTAATAAATGGATTTGTAGTTGGCGTTACAATTGGCCATCACAAAACCGTTTATGGTCGGGTCAGTAACTTGTTTGTTTACTTTTTGTTCAAAATGGATTGAAACAAAGTATAATTACAGGTTTTAGAAATTTATATAGAGTGGACTTTAGGGGGAGTGGATGTTGGTCAGAAAATAATTGATATTGATTGGGCAGAGGATCTTCATCTTCTTTTAAATGTTAAAGTCCCATCAAAATAATTGATGATTACGCCAACGTCAAGTTAAGGAAGGCACATGTTTATTATTCAGAACTTGACTGGTGAATTTTGACGATACATAAGGCTGAGAAGAGAATTAATAACAACAGACAACACAAGCATACACAAACTATTACAGAGAAACAAATTGTTCCTTTTAATAAATTTACATTGGACATACACAAAGGGGGAGCGGGCTAAAGTTAAAAGTAATTTGATGTTGAGAGGTGATTTTAGGAGGTAAGATGTCATGTAGAGGAGTGACGATACGGTTGCAGTAAAAAACAGGTGCTCCAGCAAACCTTCTGCCATATCACACTAACACGAATCTGAGCTAGGACATAGACAAATGATCAGGGAAGTTATTCCTAGTAAACAATTAAGGTTTAGATGGTAGTTCAGATTAAAATTTGCCATAATTTTTACTCACAGTCAGGCAGGCAGATTGCCTACGTGTGTTCCAGGCATTTCGCTCTCCCTCATTTGAGGGAGAAGAAGTCGTTAAGTTGTATGGTCTAGACAAATTGGCACCTTTTCCAGTGAACAGGACTCAGGTCTTGTTTTGTGCAGTGCCTCAGGAGTTATTGTTAATCTGGTACTTACTATCTCATCGTCTAGCACGTTTTAATTAGGTATTTTATTTTTTCTCTATCTAGCTAATCATATGGCTATTATCAGTATAAAGATTAACAATATTTATCCTGGCCCACCGTTGACTGTAGAATATTTACTTAACATATTTAAAAAATGATAACTTACAAGTAAATACTGACCTGAGCGACAGTTGTGTGGACGAAATATTTACAAAAACACTTCTAAAATGTTTGTTGAATCAACAAAAAGTGATGGGGGGACATGACTGTACACAAATAATAAAAATTTGAACTTATTCAGTGATGCAAATTGTTTTTGCTGGTTTGCAGGTAAGGAATGAGCGTTTTAAGTATTTCTTATGTGTTGTAGTAGTAATTCTCAATTATTATATTACTAAAAACTTAAAATTTATACGGAACGGAGAATACGATACATGTAGGAAAGTCGTTCGTTTCATTCTTCAATGTGCTATCTAACTACAGATAATTTATTTTGTAGGTTTTGTACCAATAATGATAATTGGTTATTATTTTTGAAATTCTTTGTAGTGTAAAAATTTTAGTCTACGAAACGGGTAGGTATCATGAATCTTTACGTTATCATAACATGAAAGAAATATTCATTAATACTTTTGTCTATGAAACGAATACACACTAACGTCAATTTAGACAATTGCATAATGTTGCCTATATAGAAAATTTTAGTATTACAAAAGTTTGTGAAAGTAACTTTTCATAGGGAAGTCTTTGTAAAATCTTATTTTACACATTTTGTGTCATTACTTTAAAACGTATGTATTAATTGCAATAGTCATACCCTTGTTCACGTGGATATGTAATTACAACACAAGCGAAAACTAATTTTTATAGTTATTATCTTTTACTACTATTGAAACCACATTGAAACAAAAGTCAAAACCTGGGTTCTATGCCAAGCTCGTTAAAGAAATTTAAAAAAGTAGTTGCTTTACGTCATGCAAACGATGACTGTCTGGCGATTGTGATTTTGGTTTTATTCGGAACTTTAGTGGAGTTTTATTGATGTTTTTAGTGATATAGCGAAGATGGAGACTGAAAGAATGATAGAAGACACTACGCCTCCACAGGTACGTCTCATAACTAAGATCTAGAACAGACACTATGTCACAGTTGTCCGCCATCTTGCTCCAAATTTCGAAGGTTTCAAGAAGAATTTGTGTTTTTACGGATGATCGAACAAAAAAATGTGATAAAACTGAACATTTTCATGTATACATCTCATTGGATTTCCTCTGAAATACGTTTTTTAATATTCTCAATGCAGTAGTAAGGACATAATGTAGTCGTTTAAATTTTTTATTTCTGCATTGCGGACGTATCAAAACTACAATTTTTTAACGGTTCATTACAACAAACCTTTGTTTTATCGTGTCAACGGTCGCACATTCCTCTCAAAATCTGTTGTAAACAAAGAAAACGAATTGTTTACATCCAAAAATACCCATTTTACAAGTCTTCGAATACCGTTGAAAAACAAGTGTTTTTTTAATCCAAACACTGCTTTGAAAGCTGTTAAAGCCCGATTTTGATCCTCGCAATGTGCCGGAACATTAACCATCTTTAAGTTATCATATTTAGAACACGAAAATGTTTCGTGTTTAAGCAAATCGAAGTTTTTACACATCATTTGTCTCTGTATAAGTAATGGTACAGCCATTGCATAAAACATCGTAAAGAAGTTATAAAACATTCATATAACCCATTAAAATAATATGTAAGTGGGACATATGATGAAAATATCGCAATAAACACTTTCTAAGATGTCATAGTGACAAACAGTCTAGACATACATAACAAGTCTGTTATGGAGCAAATTAATGCACCATTTCATGTATATATTTATGTTGAAATGCTGCTTATTACTAGGCTAGCCTCAACTATACTATACCTACACTTGAGTTGAGAGTTGAAATTAATATGGTGAATAGATTACATGTTAACTTATGGAAACTCATACTTTTGATAATAAAAATTATTGAAATTTTCGAAAATAAATGATAGGAAACAGGTTTTGTAGGTTAGGAAAGCACGGCGTTTGGTTGTACAAGCAAAGGTGTGGTATAGTGACCAATTTCATTGCTCACTGTCCGTAACAGGGAGTCGACTCCCAATCTCCATCTGACATCCGTCCGAAACGATTACTGCCGAATAAGCAATACTTGGCCAAATAAAGATGCGTGATGCGAATGAATCTTCATACTGGATAATTATCTTTTAATATTGTCGAATATTACTTATTTGACAGTAATTGTTTTGGACGTGTGTCGGACGGAGATTGAGAGTAGGCCCCCAGGGACAAAACGTCTATCTGCTAATTTTTTTGTTACGAAAATTTTTATTTTTAGCGTTATTTATAAAATTATTCTCAATATTGAATTAAGCATAAATTAATAAGTAATTGTATATTTAAGATTGAAAGAAAATAAATTTATTTTACATAGGTCAAATCTTGGTTACACCCCCCATTCAGTAGGTTAGGTTAGTATATGAAAAATCAGCATGAATTTGCTTTGTCATATAACTCAGGAAGAGGGGGTTCCGTAACTCCTCGCTTACAGGGGGGCTCAGCAGGGCGGGCCCCTCACCCCCCATAGAGAGACTCAATTACAATTTTGCATTTTTGCTCAGTGTTGAGGTTAAATTTGCTTTGTCATATATCTCAAGAAGGGGGTTCCATAACTCCCCGCTCACAGGGGGGTCCTTAGAGGACTTAGAGGGGTCCAATATTAGCAAGCTAGTGATGTTTTAAAAAGGAATTTAAATGTAAAATTGCAATAATCTTTGTTTCATGGGTAAGCAGATTACAATATAAACCGTCATATTGATTAAACTGTACTGCTCATTCATAAGGAAGTTTATCTTTTTTACAGACCAAATTTTTATTTGAGACCATGAGCAGTAGGTTTAGAAATGCTTTGGTGTGCTCGCAGACATGTCTAGTGTTGGGTTGACTTTATGAGGCAAAAATCAGCTCTCAAATGCACATAAACTTCATATATTCTTCCCATTGAGATAGGCAAGTAATTTTTTTTATTTATATATAATTTACGAATTAAGGAACAATTATTTTACATGTTGAACATAGTTCAAATAAGCAAAAATTCCATGTCAGCAAAAGCAGCGTTATTTATTTCTTGCAATGTGTTTTTTTGCTATCATTATCAAAACCTGATTCAATGTAAATACTACTTTACGAGTAGATACGTTAAGATTCCAGTTTTATTCAAAAATTGCTATTCATGTGGCTTAAAAAGTTTTTTTTTTGACAATACCAAGTGAGGATGAACAAGTTGTATGTCTGTGGTAAGCGACACACCTATCCATTACAGCTGCAGTGCCACTCAGCTTGAAATCACAATTATTTTTTTTTTATAATATATTGGTGCACATTGACCTCCATCTCACCTGATGAAAAGTGACGATGAGGTCGACGGTGAAGCATGCACACCTAAATAATGCCTATTCACTCTTGCCTTGAAAAGGCCCAAGTTGTAACGTTCAGGGAACAAGTCTGCAGGCAGGGAATTCCACTACATAGGGGTGGAACCCAAGCCTGCGCCTAGTCCCCCGGTGATGGAAAGGGAAAGGCGGAATTAAATTGTATAATTCCATCGCACACTCGCCTAACGCCTGACCCTGGAAAGTATGCCAAGCTTCCTTGCTGCGTTTTTGGCCATGGATTCAATGTATCTGCCGAAATTAAAATTGGACGACAGGTCCATTCCAAGTAGCTGGAGGCAGTCTATTGCAGGCAGGCTATTGGTATGGATATATCACTAAAAGTCGGAGTCAGCTCGAAGGGACTCCGTTTTGTGGAGAATAGACACGCCTGAGTTTTGGTAGTGTTAAATTTGACAAGATTGGCATCGCCTCAATCAGAGACTACCTGGAGTGTCAAATCCAAACGGCTAACCATGGACTCTCGACAAGACAGGATTTCCTCCACTGACCTTTGCATTGGTCAAGTACCTATCTACAACTGTGCTGTCATCAGCATACACAAAGGTACCTGAAATTAACATATCATTGAAATGCAGCGGAAAGAGAGTTGCAGACAGTATGGAACCCTGAGGAATCTATCGCCATATATGGAAGTGTAGCCTTCTAAGACCACTCGAATCGAACGTTCACTCAAGAAATCCGAGATCCAATTGCAAAGGTCAGTGGGAAGCCCATAAGAGGGAAGCTTACTTAAAAGGCTTGCGTGCCAGACCCTGTCAAAGGCTTTAGAAATGTCCAAAGACACTGCAAGTGCTTCGTCTTGCTTTTCTATAGCCTCGCTCCATATGTGTCAGGCATACACAAGATGATCCCCAGTAGATCGCCCTCGTCGGTATCCGTACTGGTGATCACTGAGGAGGTCGTTGTCTTCAAGGTACGACAGGAGCCGGTTGTTGAGTACGCGTTCCATAGTCTTGCAGAGTATGGAAGTGACTGAGATAGGTCTATAGTTGACAGGGTCAGCTTTACTTCCCTTTTTCGGCACAGGTTGCACGTTTGCAAGCTTCCACGACCTGGGAACTACACCAGTCTCAAATGAGAGGAGGTTCAGGCGTCTGAGAATAGGAGACAACTCAGGCGCACTTTTGCACTTCTTGGCGGCCTTATTAAAAGCTTTCTTAAAATTTTGACTACTCGGAGCTTTGCGTAGTCGAGGATCTGCCCAAGCTTGGTACGCGGACTGTTTACGTGCTTCAGCACAACTACAATCAGCGTTGAACCATAGACGAGCTTGGGGTCCATTGGGTACATCAGAGTATGGTATGTAATACTCCATACCCAAACGCAAAACCTCGACTACAGCATCAGCACAGCTCGACGAGTCTCCTGAAGTAAAGCACGTCTGGCAGGGGTATGACGCAAAGAAATGGCGCATTTCATCCCAATCTGCTAACTTGTATTGCCACACCCGTCTCATACCACTAGGGCCCTGATCGGGTGGGGAGCAAGCAGCAGTTTTCCCACAATGTTCGGAAGTACCCAGTGGGGCCTCCACAACCACAGAGTAGCGGTCTGGATCAGTCGTTAACAGAAGGTCCAAGCAATTAGCCGTAGTGGGATCCTGGTGGCGCCACTGATGAGCTGAGAAAGGCTTAGCGTTAACGCAAGATTACGCGTCTCTCTCCCAGCGTGATCGGTCATCTGGTATGGAAACCACCATTCGTGATGGTGAGCATTAAAGTCCCCCAAAATGACTAGTTGCGCCGCTGGGTACCTGAGTTGAGCCTCATCAGACGTCTCGCTCAGACATTGGAACAGCTTGGTCGTTTCCTGATGTCCACTATGCGAGCGGTAGACACAGCAGTACACTATTTGTGTAACTCCTATTTTTGGGGCACTGTCACTGCGCCCATTCACCCTGAGACATAAGTCCCATATGCCTGTGATTTCATCAGCATCCTAATCCTTCCAAACCGGAACGCAGTAATGCTCACATTAGTGCTTGGCGGCAGAAACAGGTAAGGTGGCAGTACTAACCTAGACGAACTCTTTCACAGGGAGCTCTACTGCTACCAAATAGACAGTTCTTTTCCAAGAAGTACTGAGATATTTTTCTTTCCCACCACTTCTGTGAATGCATCTTTTATTTGCATCGCTTAGCGCCTTTTACCGCATGTACCATGGTGAGTGCTCTGAGGAGCTGTTCAACCTCATCCCCCCTTCCCCGTTCCTGCTCAGAAGCACGCGTGCTGGCCTTCGTAGTCACCGTTTCACTACCTGCCGCATTCCATCGCGTACTAAAAGGTTCGGTGGCTCCTTTCTCTGCCGCACGGTTGACAAATGGAACTCCCTTCCGGCACATGTCTTCCCTCCCTCTTATGATATGGGGTCCTTCAAACGAGGCGTGAAGAGGCATATTGTAGGCAGGCAGGGTGGAGGCGGCTAGTGCAGTGAGGATTCCATCGCTGCACTAGGTTCCTTCGCGTTTGGATACCACTTTCCACTTAACATCAGGTGGAGTGGAGTCATTTGCCTGTCAGGTATAAAAAAAAAAAAAAAAAGAATGACTAAGTTTTCAGTGTAGTGTTGTGTTAGAAAAAACGCTTTAAGCGGAAATACGTTTTGT